TTTTTTTTTTTTTTCTCATTACTCAGCTACCTCTTCTAGTTAAGGGCAGTGCTATGGTGTTTTAGCCTCTGAGGTAATTCTTTCGGTATCTTGTATCTACCACTGGAGATGCAAAGTCTGAGCTAATCTGATTCTCATTTCTTTGTAATCTGTTTCTGAGAAATTTGTGTTTTGTAGGGTTTGGTTTGGTTTGAATTTTGTGGTAATAGGGGTCTATTGGGCGTGTGCTCTACCACTGAGATACCCCACTCCTTCTTAAATTTTATTTTGAGACGGGCTCTCATCTGCTTGTGATGGGCTTGAATTTGGCAGTTCTCCTCCCTCAGCCTCCTGGGTTGCTTGTATGATAGGCCTGTGTGATCGTGCCCGGCATGTTCTCCCTTTCTAATGCTGTCTAGCTTCAGTGAGATATAATTAGATACAGGTTTTTGTTTTCTTTATTCACGTTGGCTCTTTTGATATCAGAATTTATTTCTTTTAGTTCTAGGATATTCTTAGTCATTATCCTTTCAAATATTTCTTTCATAGCTGGGTGTGGTGGTGGTGCATGCTTGTAATCCCAGCTACTCAGGAAGCTGAGGCAGGAAGATCACAAGTTCAAGGGCAACATGGGCAATTTAACAAGACTGTCTCAAGTTTTTTAAAAAATAGCCGGGCATGGCAGTGCACACCTGTGATGCCAGCACTCAGGAGGTGAGGCAAGAGGATCATTGCGAGTTTGAGGCCAGCCTGGCTACAAAGTGAGCTTAAGACCAGCCTGAACTGCATAGTGAGACCCTGTCTCAAAACAGAACAGCTTGGGTTTAGCTCAGTGGTAGAGCACTTGCTACCTTGTTTGAGACCCTGGGTTCAATCCCAGGGCCACACATGTACAAATTGCTTCTCTTTTCCTTTCCTCTGAATTCCTATAAAGAATTGGAACATCTGAGCCTATCTTCCATCTCCCTTTACCTTTACATTTATGCCGTCTAATCTTTATTACTTTGTGTAACTACCTGTTATTGATTCTTATGTACCATTTCTTTCTGTGTTGTTCTGAGGATATTAAAGATACATTTGAATTATCATTTTGCTTCTCTGTTACCTCTTCCCTCACTGTGAGTCTTTGATTTCTTACCTCTCATCTCTCTTAAGGTCCTAGTCTGTATTTGCTAGTTGCCGATTCCTGGCTGTGCCTTGACGGTTGGGAGAAGGCTCATGACTTGATGCCGCAGCTTCCCCTCCGCTTTCCTTTGTTATGTTTTTGTTACGTCTAAGGTGTGGTGTGGAAGAGAGAAGGTTTCAGGATATGTACTCAGCTCAGAATCTATTCCACGACGCTTTTGCTTTTATGTCATTTCTCATCTTTTCTGTCACAGTTACTTGTAGCTGGCCATGGGGGTTTGTATTCGTCAGGGCCAAGGACTGGGTCTAACATATACATAGCGTCTACCAATCCCTTCTCATATGCTGTACGGTGAGCTGAGTTGAACCCGCTGGGTCCAGTCTCCTATGGAATCGGAGTTGTTCCTCCGGCGCCTGCTGAGAGCCTCATGTGTGCCCCGCGAAATCTAGACCAGTGAAACCAGGAAATAAAAGTGGGTTCCCTTCCCTTTCACAGCCTGCTAGTCACCCTGGATTTTTACACTATTTGGTTTGGCACTGGCTCTAAGGTTGTAAATCTGTAAGTGCTGAGGAAGTCCTGACTCCTGTTGTCTGGGAACTAGAAATGAAAGTGTTTGGGTAGAAAAATGGGGTCATGCATTAAGAACTGAATGCCCTGACGCCCCCGTTTGACTATAACGCTTTATGTCATAGATTATTGAATGTCTGAAAGAAAACAAGAAGCAACTGAGTACCCGCTGTCACCAGAAAGTATTTAAGCTGCAGGAGACAGAGATGATGGACCCGGAACTAGACTACACGCTCATGCGAGTCTGCAAGCAGATGATAAAGGTAAGGGCCGAGTGCAGTGTGCGTGAGAATGACAGCGTGAGCCTCTCTAAAGCTGGGCTTCCCAGGCTGGCAGTGGCTGCCTCTCCCAGCAGTTTACAGGTTCCTGGGCCCGGCCCCAGCTCCGCTGAATCAGAAACTCTGGGCGTGGAGCCACCATCTGTCCATAGCCCTCCCAGTGATGCAGCGCTGCCTTCAGCTGCAGAACCAAGAGCTGAGTCATGAGGCAATAGACGTCCAGTAAATATGTGACTGGTTTCGAGGGTGGTTAAGGTGAGGCGTACGGATACAGCCACCATCCAGTGTCCCGATCAGATCGTCTCCCACCCTCCAGAGATTTGTTGTGTTTTGTTTTGTTTTGAGACAGGGTCTCACTATGTAGTTCACACTGGCTTTGAACTGTGTAGCTCAGGCCAGCCTAGAAGTCGCAGCAGTCCTGCCTCAGCCTCCAGAGTGCTGGGATTACAGGCGTGTGCCATACCTAGCTAAGATTTTTCTGTTCTAAAGTTCTTTAGCTTTAATTATTCCTCCAGTGAATTTTCCTTAATCTCAGAAGTCCCTTGATCTATCCACATGTACAAGGAAGCCTTAAGGCTCCAACTCTTTATTTCAGCTTTTAATTTTTTGATTTTTTGGAGACCAGAAAAAACCTGCTATTTCAGATGAGCTCACTGTGTAGCCCAGGTTTGCCTCAGACTCACAGTACTCCTTCAGGCTCGGCCCAGTGCTAGAGTTCATGGGTGTGCACTGCCGTGCACAGCGATGCTTTTCTAAAGACAAATTTTAAAGATAATTTTGAGCATCACAAGTGTAAGTCTCAAGCCAGGCATGGTGGCATGTGCCTCCTTCTAGGAGGCTGAGGCAGGAAGATCAAGAGTTTGGGGTCAGCCTATGAGACACATAGTGAAACCGCATCTCAAACATCCCCCTAAAAAGTGTGAGTCTCTTTAACGGCCTAGTACAGTTGAGTTCTGAAAATGTGGAAATGCCAGGCTCAGGTTTGAGAGAGCAAAGTAAGATTTTATGAAGATCAGTCTGTAATCCTTGTGCTCATATTAAGAAATCAGTAGATTATAATCACACATGCTTTAGGAGGAGAGGCTTGATGCTGAAGTGTCCGAGCCAGAGTTTATCTGACACTGTGACACTAAAGACCTTTAGATTAAACAAATAGAAATAGAGTTTAGTCTGGGCATGGTGACATGGTGGTGCACACCTATAATCCTAGCCCTTGGGAAGCTGAGGCAGGAGGATTACCATCTGTTTGAGGCCAGCCTGGACTACATAGTGAGACCCTGTCAAAGAAAGAAAGAAGGAAGAAAGAAGGAAGGAGAAGGGAAGGGGAGGGGAGGGGAGGAAAGGAAAAGGAAAAGGAAAAGGAAAATAAAAATAAAAACTTCTACACTGGCCAGTGCATGCCTGTAATCCCAGCACTGTGGAAGGCTAAGGCAGGAAGATTGCTGCAAGTTCGAAGCCAGCCTGGGCTACAAAGTGAGCTCAAGGCAAGCCTGACCTGCATAGCGAGACCCTGTCTGAAAAAGACAAAAAAAAAAAGTACTTGTTTAAAACTGAGTTCTGATATACAGGGCAACAATAAATACAGAGGCCAGCCCCACAGTGTTGCTAGGACTGTAGCACTTACAGTTACAGTTCAGATGAATGAGCAGGGCATGGTGGTACACACTTGTAATCCCAACACTTGGGAGGCTGAGGCAGGAAGATTCACTGTGAGTTCTAGACCAGCCTGAACTATAAAGCAAGACCCTGTCTCAAAAAAAAAGAGAATCAGAGGGGCTGGGGATTTAGCTCAGCGGCTTAGCATCTGCCTGGCAAGCGCGAGTTCGTGAGTTCGATTCTCGGTACCGGAAACAAAACAAAACAAAATAAAAAAAAAAAGAATCAGATAATAGCCTTATCCCGAATCCCTGTTCCCACTGCATGGTGGGCAAGTCCTGCGTTTTTTTCCAGTGGGGCTGAGTAGATAGCGGCTTAAAGGATGGCCACCAGGTACAGTGTTGTAGTCATACTGAAACAGTGAAGTTCATGAGGTGGCGTGCATTGTAGCACAGCCGTAGCGGGAGGGGCAGTCCCACGCAAAACGGGAACCGGAGGGAGGGAAACGTGGGAAGCGCACAAGAGCGCGAGTCCAGAAGGGGGATGTGGGGCCAGGTGCTCACTCGGGTCTGGCTCTTCACTTGTCTGAGTGATGCCTGCATGCTCCTGCTTTCGTGAGCCCTCAGAGATGTAAGAGTGACTGCGAGTGGGTTAACTGCCAGGCTTGGATGGCTGATCTCATAAAACCATGTCTCTTCGCAGAGGTTCTGCCCCGAAGCAGATTCTAAAACCATGTTACAGTGCTTGAAGCAAAATAAAAATAGCGAGCTGATGGATCCCAAATGCAAACAGATGATAACCAAACGCCAGATCACGCAGAACACAGGTACTGTCCTGGCTTGGCTCTCCAGGTTCCACTGGGTATAGCATAAGTAGGGTGGAGTGGGCGCAGTTACCCAGTTCTGCCACAGGTGCTTTGCTGCCCTGGACGTGGGAGCCTGGGTGTAACAGAGCACCTTCCTCTCCCATTGCGTGGTGTCCAGGAAAACAGGGTCAGGGTCCGGGGAAAGAGGAGGCCGAAAATCTGGGAACTGCCCTTAAGAACATACAGAAAGACCAGGCAGGATGGCGCATACCTGTAATCCCTGCGCTCAGGAGGCTGAGACAGGAGGATCGCCATGAGCAAGACCCTGTCTCAAAAAAACAAAGCAAATAGTAACATACAGAAGGAATCAGTGCCAGCGCTTCTTAGAAGAAAACTATAGACTTAGTATGACTTTGTGAGTTTGGCAAATGATACTGGTAATCTGGTTTATTTATTTATTTTTTATTTATTTTTTGGTAATCTGGTTTAGAACAAAGACATTTAGGTGTTTGGTTGAAAGACCTTATAGGTTGATGGGCAAAAGCATGTTAGGTATTTCTTTTTTGGTGTTTTCTTTTGTCTGTGTGTGTCTTCTTGAGAAAGAGTCTCGCTTACTCAGTTCAGGCTGGCCTTGAGCTCACCTTGTAGCCCAGGCCGGTCTCGAACTCGCAATGATCCTCCTGCCTCAGCCTCCCCAGTGCTGGGATTACAGGTACATGCCACCATGCCCAGCTTTTCTTGGTCTTTTCAAAAACACCTGTCGTGGGGAAATCCCTATCATATCCCCTTGATTTTTATTTTTCCCTTGATATTTTTAATAAAGAGGCAGAAAAATCTGTAAAGTAGAAAGAAGACCTAGTGACCTGCAGTACTTTTGAACTAAGTCACATCACTCATGAACTGCAGCGGAGCAAGAGTTCACTCCCTGTTTTCCGAATGAACAAATTCGTGTTTATAGTCATGGCATTGATGTGCACTGTCTTGGAGTTATGGTTGTTGTCCCCTTTCGGAAAATGGATTTCTAAGATTTGTGAAAGTGTCCTAATGTACTATTTTATGTGTTTGCCACTTTCTGCTCTAGATTACCGCTTGAACCCCGTGCTGAGGAAGGCCTGTAAAGCTGACATTCCGAAATTCTGTCACGGCATCCTGACCAAGGCCAAGGATGACTCGGAGCTGGAAGGCCAGGTCATCTCTTGCCTCAAGCTGCGCTATGCTGACCAGGTAAACTGGCCGGGCTCCTCATGCCAGTGTGCAGGACGCTGCCTCTGTCCCTGTGGGAGCGTTCTCTATCAGAGTCCAAGCTGGCCCCTGTTTTCCCAAGGCTCTTTTTAGACCTTCCTGAAGCCAGGGCTAAGGGGTCAGTAACAACCTGTTTTCTGACGGACTGTCCCCCCGTCACGTGTAGCGGCTGTCTTCCGACTGCGAGGACCAGATCCGCATCATCATCCAGGAGTCGGCGCTGGATTACCGCCTCGACCCTCAGCTCCAGCTGCACTGCTCAGACGAGGTAGGCATGGGCGAAAGTGCGGCCAAGCTGCCGAGGGCCGACCGTGGGAGCAGAGTCCTCTGCTGTGCTCTGTTGCCCTCCAGCTCAGAACTCCTGGTTAGTTGCAGGCCCATCTTTAAGGCTGTCCAGTCGTGAGTCCCAGGTTTCTGTCTTGAACAAAGGTATTCTTTTTGTTGTTGGTTTTTTTGTTTTGTTTTATTTTTTTTAAGACAGGGTCTCACTATGCAGTTCAGGCTGACCTTGAGCTCACTTTATAGGCCAGGCTGGTCTTGAACTCACAGCAGTCCTCCTGCCTCAGCCTCCCAGGTGCCAAGATTTCAGATGTGTGCCACCATGCCCGGCGGCACAAGGGTATTCTTTTATTAGCGCTTCCTGCATATTATCTGTTCTTCCCCCTTCCTTATTCTGTATCGTCAACTCAGAACACCCTAAGACCAGATGAGTAATGATGCTCTCGTAAGGGCTTTAAGGAAGTGCCATTCCTTGGAAATCGTTTGACCTCACAGCAAGAAAGGGCCTGTGAAGAGCTCTGTTCAACTTGTGTCAATTTTAGGAAGTCACAGCAAAAGATATTCTGAAGATGCCTACCCATGAGACTGTGCAAAAAAAGTCAACTCTGTTAGCTTCACTTCTAGGCTGTTTCAGAATCTGTCTGTCTGTCTATCCAAGTTGTGAGACTGGGTTGACTTTAAACTCTGTAAATACTAAACATTTGCCTTTGGACTTCTGTTGAGCTGTCTGCCTCCCTGCGGTAGAATCCGGAGTCACCTTGCTGATTTATATCCCCGTGGATTTACTAACGGCAACTCTGTGTGCCGCATGCTGTGCAGGAGACCAGAGCCTGGACGCCTGTGTTGAGTGCGGGGGCGTGTGCTCTGCTCCAGGAAGCTGTTTGAGATGCTCATGTGTCCAAAGGCCCAGGTTTCTGTCAGTAAGCAGCAAGAGCAGGCACTGTGGGGCGGCCTAATTTCCCTGTGTCTGCTGAGCAGATTGCCAGTCTGTGTGCTGAAGAGGCAGCGGCCCAGGAGCAGACAGGTCAAGTGGAGGAGTGTCTCAAGGTCAACCTGCTCAAGATCAAAACGGAAATGTGTAAAAAGGTAACCACTCCCTTCTTTTCTCGCTCACTCTGTCCACACCTCCCCACCCCCGTGTGTGCGTGTGTGCATCTGTCTGTCTGTCTGTGCACCCGTGTTGCCCAGACTGGCCTTAAACTCCCAGGCTCAGGTGATCCTCCGGCTTCGGCCTGTGAAGGAGCTGGGGCTGTAGGCCCCATATCACTGCCCCTGGCCTTGCTCCCCTTTTCCCTCTCTTCCTTTTAATGTTATGGCTGCTACTCAATGTTACGGCCACTACTCCTTAGTAATAAAACTGAAAACAAGCTTTCCTTTCTAGTGTTCTTTTCTTTTTTTCTTCCTGGCATTCACTGGGGATTGAACTTGGGGTCTTCATACCAGGCTGTATTGCCAGCCATTTTTGAGACAGGACCTCACTGTGTAGCCCAGGCTGGCCTTGAACTCACAGTGATCCTCCTGCCTCAGCCTCCTGTGCTGGCAATTATAGGCATGCACCACCATGCCAGGCCAGAGATACTTATTTTGAGACCAGGTTTCACCAAGGCACCAAACTGCCCAGGCTGTGCTCAAACTTGCATTCCTCTTGACTTGACCTCCTCAGAGTGCTACGATTACAGACATTACAGCCATTTGCCAGCAAGGCTGTGCCCACTTCCACCCCCACCCCCGTACTGGTTGAATCCAGGATCTTCACGTTGAACTATATCTGCAGCCCTTTTTTTTTTTTTTTGTGGCTTAGTTGATTGTTTTTTGAGACAAAGTCTCTCTATGTATTCAGGCTGGCCTTGAACTCATAAAGCCCTTCTTATTTTTTGTTTGAGACTGTCCTGCTCAGTTGCGGCATCGCCCAGGCTGGGCTCAAACTTGCTATCCTCTTGCCTCAGCTTCCCAAGTGCTGGGTTACAGGCATGCATTTAGGTCATTTAGCGCATTTCAGAAGCATCACATAAAAACAGAATCAAAATATGCCTTCTAACTACATTCTCTTGCAGTATTGAAAATGAAATAATATATTTGACCTTTATTTTTAAAAAAAGTGCAATCATATTTAAAAGTTTCATTATTCAGAACATCTTTAAATTTAAATAATTCCTCTTGCTGTAGAAGTTATGTTCTGTGCATCCTTTTTTTCTCTTTTGAGGATGGAAGACCTAGTACTCTGATTTCCAAATTTCCCATTTTTTAGAATTTTTTAAAGTTACCAAATAACTATATTACCCTAATTAAAAAATAGTATTTAGATACTTGAAAATAGTAGGACTTAACCGTGCCGAGGATCCGTGGTGGGCCCTCCAGTCACACGCAGGCCCAGCTCTCCTTAGCGGGCTGCACCCCGAGTGGTGAGTGAGTCAGCAGGACGCCGAAGTCTGCGTGTGCCCGCAGCACGTGGCCCCTCCCAGTGTAGGTGCTCTTGTTCCTGGGCTTCGCTCCTTCCCTGTTTGTGTGCGTGTAGTTTTTACAAGCAACAGATCTGATGCGTTTCCTCTACACAAGCCCTCTCCACAATGACCTTGCCTTTCAGGAAGTGTTAAACATGCTGAAGGAAAGCAAGGCAGACATCTTCGTGGACCCAGTTCTTCACACCGCGTGTGCCCTGGACATTAAACACCACTGTGCGGCCATCACCCCTGGCCGCGGGCGCCGTAAGTCCCTGTGCCCACTTAGCCCTGGCTGTGCTGTCTTGGGAGTTGCAATTTTACTGCCCAGCTGCAGGCAGCATCCCCTGGAGGACTTGGCCTTTGTGGAAGAATGAGTTCAGGATAACCCTGCAGGTTTGGAGTGATCTAGCCATGACCAGAGCTACAGATTGGGTAAAGGGGAAAGATTGAGTTACTTATCGAGGAAGCAAAAGCTAAGTCATAACCATGCCCCCGCTTTGCCCAAACTGAGCTTTCCTAAGAGCCGCAGAAGGCACAGCAGGCAGCTTCCGGGAGGTGTGAATGTTGTTCTCGGCCCAGCGTGCCACTGAAATAAGAGCGGTCTCACCTGGCGGTTGCCTCCCAACCCTCACCGAGTTGGACCGTGCATCACGTCCCCAGGAATAGATTTGACCTTTTCGAGTTAACGATACAAGTTGTCGGGTCCCTGGGGATACCTAAGATACGACAGACGGCTCCATCCTGTACAGGTGCCGACCGTTCTCCCTGTTTGCTCCTGCAGAAATGTCCTGCCTGATGGAGGCCCTGGAGGATAAGCGGGTGCGGTTACAGCCTGAGTGCAAAAAGCGCCTCAATGACCGGATTGAAATGTGGAGCTACGCGGCAAAGGTAGGGCCCAGGAGTCTCCAGTGTCCGTCTCTTCTGTCAGCTCCTGTCTCTGAGGGACTAGTTCTTGTCCTTGCTGGGAGATGAGCAGTAGGTGTATTTTGAAACATCAGGGAGCCTTTAAAACTCCCTGGCTAGGGCCAGGTGTATAGGTCAGTGGTAAGATACGTTACGCCCATGAGAAAAGAAAGAGATCCCAGAACCTTTAGACTTACTTGTATCATTTTGCACAGCCTTTGGGAGACTGAGTACATACATAAGCAGCAGCCGGCCTGGGCCCGAGGAGACTGGGGTGAGGGGGCTTCAGGGTGTGTGGTGCGCAGGCACTGGCCCGGGGGGAGCAGCGGAAGGGCTGTGCGTGCTGCTGTGACGTTCACAGAACACTCGCTGGAATGTCAGACCCGCGTGGGGTAAGGAGGGTGACTGTCCCCTCACTGTGCGTGGAGGGCACTGGCTTCAGAGGCTGTGACGTGCCCTAGGTCCCCTGGGTTTCTAGATCCACGCTTCTGTACCAACTCACACCCGAGGTCAAGACAGCGACCTGCTCCTTGCCCAGTTCCGTCTCTCCTCTGCTCAAGGCGAAGGTAACAAGTGTGTGCAGTGGAATGTGCTTGTGGTCCCAGCTGCTTGGGAGGTTGAAGCTGGAGGATCACCTGAGCTCAGGAGTTCAGAGCAAGACTGTCTCAAAAAAAAAAGGATGAAGGGTAACAAGGCAAGAGGAAATAACCAGAGAAAGTCCTCATACCTAGATGGAAAGGAAGTGTTAAAGAAGGATTTTGCATGTTTGTCACAGAAACCAACTGCCCCGCCCCTCCCCCACTCCTTCGAAGAGAAAAGTGTCCCCTGTGAAGCAGCAGACAGGCCCTGCACTGCCCATTCCCTCCGGTTTCTGCTCCTTCGCACTGCTTCCTGGGGCCGAGGGATTCAGCGTGTGCGCTGATGGTGCTGAATTGCGGGTCCTCCAGCCTCGCTATCCCCGCACCTCCCGCTCTGTTCTGTGTACACTGGGGTGAACATGTTTCTGGTCCAGACCCTGCCCAAGCACCCAGAGCGAGGCTCCAGAGAACAGCTTTGCTTATGCCCTCGGAACCTTTCGGTCCTGGTTCTGCTGTAGCAGGCTGCACAGAGGTCCACTGGAGACAGCATAGGAATAGGGTGAAAGTGGCCAAACCGTGAAAGTGCACAGGTGACATGGGGGAACCTGATCTCAGGGTGCACCCTGTCGCGGCTGTGGTTGCACACTGTGATGTAATGGTGAGTAAAGCCGAGAGAGAGCGTACAACATAGTCTCAACACGCCGCTGTTTCAGATGGCAGCAAACGTGGTGAAGACCGTAAGTGGAAACCTAGGAGACCCCCGGGCTTTGTACCAGGCTCCAGCCCCGCTAGCCACAGGTTGTCGTCTGTGACATGGGTGTGACGAGCCTGCCCTCGGGGGCTGGGGTGAACAGGACGAGAGTGGAGTCATGGGAGCCCTTGCCTTGGCAGGTGTGGTCACATCCGAAGCCCCCGGGGCTGTTGGTGTGTTAGCAGTGATGGTCACTATGAAGGAACTGGAGTGACTGTGCCTCTTTGTAGCACATGAGACTGAGCGCTGCCAGCTGCCCACTGTCCCCCAGAGCATCACACTGCTGTGTCTCCTTCCAGGTGGCCCCAGCAGATGGCTTCTCTGACCTTGCCATGCAAGTGATGACATCGCCATCAAAGAACTACATCCTGTCTGTGATCAGCGGGAGCATCTGCATATTGTTCCTGATTGGCCTGATGTGTGGACGGATCACCAAGCAAGTGACACGAGAACTCAAGGACAGGTAGAGCCGCCTTGACCACCAAAGGAACTCCCTGCCCAGTGCCCGTTTGTACAGTCCTCCTGTATAGTGTACCCTCTCACCTCACCCTTCTACGAGGTGGCACCGGCACACACGGTAGAGCAGCAGCAGGTGCCCACTGCATTGTCCCGTCCAGACTTGGCCACGCCTGCAGTGTCCTCCTCCTCCGCCACCGTCTGTGCAGTGTCTGCAACTTTGGTGGTTGCCTTGGTGAACTCGGGTTTTCCTGCCTGTAGACAAGTCTCTCTCCTACAGCAAAACTACCGATCCTTCCAGAACCAACTCACCTGACCTGCAACTCAAATGCTTTTTTAAAAAAAACTACCAAAAAAATGGAAAGAAATTTTTAAAGAAAGAAAAAAATGTATATAATAACATCTCCAGGCGTGACTTGGGGGCAGGGTTATTTCTTCTGTGTAGCTTCCTCCAATGAAGGCAGGACTTGGAGCAGACGCGCACGCCCAGTACTCGGTCACCGAGGTGTCTGGCTCATCTCCCAGAAGCATCTCTGACCATGCCAGGCCGGGACGGACGTCACTGAGTCGTGGCTGGAAGCCTCTAGCCAGCCTGATTTGGGTCCTGTTTGCTTCTAGCTGTCACCGAAATAAGCTGCCGCTGGTCACAGTCCGATGGCCACAGGTATTTCTGTGATCTTACCGCAGTGCAGTAAGGCGTGAGCCTCCCTGAACTGAGGGCGGGTGGACGGGGCAGCTCAGCAGTCTGTGAAGCGGGACCACACACGACCTGCGGGGGGGGCTGGATTTTGAGTGTGCTGGCAGCAGGAGCTGCCGCCTTCTCCCCGGGGTGCTGTGGGACTTCCCGGCGAGGTCAGCCCTGCCGAAGGTGCCATTACTCTAGAAATTCTTTGCCACCAGAGCAGTGACTGAGTGGCAGGATCCTGTGAAACAGGGTGGGGAAACAGCAGGGAGGAGGGGGCGTCTCACCCACCTGGCTCTATTTTCCAGCCGCAGTACAGATCAGAGACGGTGGCTTGTAGAGATCTAGTGCGGTCCCAGGGTGACTGGCGTCCCGCCTGGCCTCCCCGCATGCTGCACGCAGGCTCCCAGAGAGGCTCCTTTGTGCCCTACATGGAGGGTGTGGCGAGCGATCACATTAAAAGATGGAGGATTTTCTCTGTTCTTCTCTCTGTCCTTTTGCTGCGTGTGCACACCCTGGTAGGCACTAGCTAAGTGTAGTGTTTCGGTGACTCATCAACTATTCTGGAATCTGAGCTTTACAGGGACACTGTTCCTGGCCATCCTCCCTGGCCCTCCTGTGTGGAGGGGACAGGTTTGAGGCACAGGAAGGACGGGCCTGGGCATCCGGTTCAGCCTGGCTCACCTTTGGTCGAGTTGGGGCCGTGGCATCACAGGGGCTGCGCGGGAGGGCAGCATGTACAGTAGGAGATATATTTATATAATATATATTTTATTAACCTGTTAGTTGTCCACAAAGTATTATAAATCACGTGCCTAAAACTGTCCCCGTAGACCCAGGCCCCTCATGGCACTCCGCCTCCTCCTACCCGCCTGGCACAGCCCACAAGTGCCAGCACCTGAGCGACATCTGTCTTCCTTGAAGTCTGTCCAAGCTGTGTTGCGGATTGGTCGATCCAAATACTCCTCATCTAACCTGACTGATGTACCTTTGAATACTGTGGTTTTCTTTCTTTCATTTGACTCTTTTGCTGCCTTTCCTAGAGGCAGTGGATTCCACAGCCAGCTGTGTGTCCCTGGCCTGGGGTAATGCAAGTCACCAAGGAAAGCTGCTAAGCCGCTGGTCCCCGTGGTCCTGCTCTTAGGGTCTTCCTGATTTGCAGCAGCTCTCCTGAGATTCTTCAGTCTCAGGAGGCTTGAAACGCTGTGGTTCGAGCACCACGCATGACTGCACACTCTGCAGATGAGCTGAGCTGGCCTGCAGGGCCCCCCCCTGCCCCGGGGCTTCCCCTCCACCCCCCTGCCCCGGGGGTGCCAGGCAGACGCCAGGCGGCGTGGGATGCAGCCAGCGTTACCGCAGTGTGCTTCTCAGGACAGGATTCCTGATTCCTGGGGTGAGGATGTCACTCCCCGTCTCTGCAGCCTCCCTCCTAACACACGTGAAGCATCCTTATGTTTCTAAAGCTCCTCCACATCTGTGTTCGTTCTGAACTGACAGGAAATCCCCTTAGTAGTCTGCAGCAGATTGGAAGTTGAGGAATTTGATTTGTGAAACGCTTGTCATATTTAGAAACAGAACAGAAAGGATAACTTTGCTGGTATCTGAAATTGTTCGTTATAAGAAAGTCTGCACAAACCCTCTTTGGAGTGATTTCCCTGTGACTGGAAAGGTCTGGAGCAAATTGTCCTCAGTGCAAGGGACCAGCGTCATCTGCGCTGGTGGGGCAGCCGGTCCTAACTGTTCCACACCTCATTTGGCATCACATTTGGCAGGTTCTGAGGCACCCGGGTCGATGGCGGGCTCTGGCCTTCATCTGTGCCCCTGCTGTCTAGCCCACAAATAAGAACATAAGTTTGTAGTAGGACTTGGGCCAAGGTCACAGCTCCAGGGCTCCCCCTACAGAGGGGGAGCTGCGTAAGAGAGACATTCTCTACCTTGATGCATCCCTGGACTTCCCTGCCATTGCTCCTGCCCCACGACAGGTCTTTGGCACGAGGTACTGACGGGAGAGCCATACTAAGGCTTAGGCCCGTGCTGCAGGAAGCCCTCGTCCTCTGCATTCCTGGGAGACCTGTGGCTGCCACTCCCAGGCCTGGTTCTGCGGACCCCGCCGGCTTGTCCCAGCCGGTGAGTGTATCCCGAGAAGTGAGGGGAATTCCAGGGCACGCGATGAGCTAGCGTTCAAGGAGCAGGTGTTCACAGGAACTCGCCACAGGTCCCTTGGCATTGCTGTCTCGTTCTGTGCTTGCTGTCCTGGGAGACAACAAAAAACTTGGGTGCGGGAGACACTTTCCTGGAAAATGCAATGGAAAGTTATTGTCAGATTTCATGTCTTCCTATTTCCTGAGGTCAACTGAGAGAAGAATCCAATGGGAAAGACATTGTCATTTGTATTTTGTCAGGCAGATTGGTAATTATGCAGCTGAAAGCCTTTGACCTTCCCAAGAAATGGACTCTTGGATATCCTTGTGGAACTGTTGGTCCTCTCCACCTGCAGCTTTGTGGTACCACTTCTGTCCGAAAGATCCCCGTCGTGTGTCACAGGGGGAGGACTTCCTGGGCCTCCTTTCCTAGCTGGTCTCAAGTGCGCTTGAGCAAAGGCCGTCCCCTCCCTTCCTCCCTGCCCCGTCACAGGCCCCTTCTCACGTGCACCCACTCAGGGTGTAAGGACACTTAGGCCTCAGGAGTCAGCCAGCCCAGCCTGCCCCCTGCACCCTACTTTGTGGCCATAGAGCCGCAAGGAGAATGTGGCTTTGGGAATGTGCGCATTTCAGTGAGCTTACTTGGATTTCCGCTTCTTCTGAATTAGAGCGATCTCAGAGCTCCGAATGCTTCCTCAGGCTCCTTGCCGTGTGAACACCCCTAGTGGTTTTATAAAACGTGGTTCCTGGGCCGGGGATGTAGCTCAGCGGGCCTGACCGCAGGCCTGCCTGGCAAATGTAAGGTCCTGAGTTCAATTCCCAGTACCAGAAAAACCCAAAACACAAAGTGTGGTTCCTGGGGGTCTTCAGAGCCATCTCCCAACCCAGCCCTACCACTCGGCTCTGGGTCCAAGGCTGTTGTCAGGCCCGATCTGACACTCCGTCCTCCCCTCCTCCCATTTGTCCAGTCTGCCAGCTCCACCCTCCCCATTCCGCCTCGGTCCCTCCCCCGGGACCACGAATCAGAGCAGTCGCATCTGAGTCACGTCCCCTTCCCACCTTGGTCAGCACACAGGGGAGTGGGCTTCAGGGTGGCACACGGGTGAGACCGCTGTGGGGACACAGGACAGGGACTGTCCCCGAGAGCACAAAGGGGACACAAAGGGCTGTCGCCACAGGCTGGTGGTGACAGGGTCCCACCGGGGGGTCTGCCTTGGAGAGCTCTGGCCAGGTAGGAGGAAGTGTGACCGTTCTCTGCGTTGTCTGGCCGCTCCCCCAGCACAGGCCTGGCGGCTACTCCCAGAGCCCAGAGGCCGCCCGCCACACTCGTCCGTCTGCGGGTGGCTGCGCCAGGTCCCCGGGTCGGTCCCGGCAGGAAAACCGGCTGCGCGCTCATGCCGTGTGAGATCTTGGGCCTCTGATTTTTTTTTTTTTTTTCCTAAGTACAATTAACAAGCCTCTTTTGTAAATGGGTTTCATTTCTATGTATAAAATCCCAGCAGTTCCTTGTTTTTACATGTTCATGCTGTGTAATTTTGAGATGTTACTGAGATTCTGAACATAATGTGCATTTTTTTCTGTACAGATGAAATGGGAGAATTTAATAAAGAGTTTGCAGGTTTGTACTTGTTAAATCTTCTCTGTGGTGACTGGGACGGATCTCCCACAGCCCTGCTCAGCTGGTAGAAGTTTATAGAACTGAGCCGTGACCTCACCGTGGCCCATTGAGTGCCACAAGGTAGCAGTGCAGGGCGGGTAAGGGAAAGGGAGCTTCGCCCCGTGCTCTGGTGCCAGGCAAGCGCTGGAAGCCGTCGGGGGTTTACCCACTTGGGCTGGCTTGCCGAGAATCACTCACGCTCTGCCTTGGGGGTACCTGAACCTCTCCAGCACGGGGAGGGCCGGCCCTGTGAGAGGCACCTGGTCTCCTCCCGCCCAACAGGCCGGCCTGCCTTAGTGGCCTTTTCCTCTGCTGCCTCCGCTCTCAGCAAAGCTAATGTGCACCTCTGTGTTGAAAGTCGCTCAGGAGGTCTGCCCGGTAGAGGGATTCCTGAAGCAGTCACGTCCATTCCGTGACCCCTGTGGGGGACCAGTTTGCGGTGAGAGGAAGGTGCGGCCTAGGACTCTCCGGTCTGTGTCGGCACTGTCACGTAAGAGATGGTGGCCTGTGCAGACAAGCAGAGGTGAAGAGAAGAGGGAAGGAGAGGGATTTGGGGGCCTCCCGAGTCCTGAGCACAGATGCGCCTCTGTGCCGCCGTGCTGCTCGCCCTGTGTGTGAGGAGTGTGTGGCGCAAGCCTTCAGCATCTGGGAAAGGCTGCCCGGTTTGGGTCTGCGCTCCAGAGGTGGGGACCAGGCTTGGGGCCCCTTGTCAGCAGTGCCCTCCTTCCGGAGGCCTTGTGGCTTTGCTCGGGCCTGGAACCAGGGGCTGCTGTGCCCTCCGGAACGAGAGGCCCCTGCGGGCAGACGGCGCAGTGACCAGGGTCAGGGTCACTTTCTTGTCGTTATCCCCTACACTGTACCACACGGCTGTCTGCATAGCGCTCGCGTTGTTTTAGGCATTGTGGGGAACATGCAGGTGACGTAAAGTAGGTAGCGGGTTGTGTGTGGGTCACGCGCAAACCCCCCCACCTTCTGTAAGGGCCCGGAGCACGGCAGAGCTTGCTGTCTGTGGAGTTCTGCGCGGGAATGGATGCTCTGGCCCACAGGCGGAAAGCTCGCCTTCTGCGGAGGCACGGGGCGGCCTCTGTTCTGTTTGCTCCGTAGCCTCGGCTGGGTGTGACCGTGGTGCCCAGCCAGGTGCCGTGGGCGGGCCTGGTGCCCTTGCCTCGGTCTCTCTGGTGTCCTGTACAGCGTGTTTCTCCTGTGCCCCAAGCCCTGCTCTGGGCCCGCTCAGGCTCCCTGGCCTGGCGATGCTCAGCCCTCCGTCACTAGTCCCCGAGGGGCTGTGTGTGACAGTGGAAGCCAGAGGCACACGTGTAACAAAGGTGTCGCAGCGCCTGGGGGTCGTTCCAGGGGGACATCACCGCTCATCTCACTGCATCCAGCTGCAGCCTTCTGCACCTGCAGCGCAGCTCATGCCCTCCAGTAACTCCTCTGCTGCCGCTCGAGAGGCGAGTGACAGCGTCGTAGGACCTCACAGGCAGCTGTGCCCCCGCTTCATGGCACAGATCCACCTCCCTTTTCTCTCCCTTAGGGGGGACATAGCCACCCACATAGCAGGGGATGTCTTTACCCTCAGGAGACAGAAAAGCCATGGCATTTGGAGGTTTTGTTTGGGTATTTTGGGATTTTTTTGTTGTTGTTTGTTTTTGTTGTTGTTTGTTTGCTTTTGTACTGGGGATTGAGCCCAGGGCCTTTGCACTGAGCGATATCCACAGCACCTATCTTTTTTGAGACAGGCTCTCACTAAGTCACTGCATTGCATGGCTCTAATTGTTGGGCTCCAATTTATGATCCTTCGGCCTCAGCTCCCAAAGTGCATGGATTTCAGGTGTGTGCTATCACGTCCCGCTGCCCTGGAGGTCTTACAGTGGAGACCCACTCAGGAAAATGGAAGACACTGGATTTTGGGTGTCCAGGTCTGCAAGGCTGCAGGGAGAAGAGAACCTCAGCCCTCTCTCTTCTGGCCTGGGCCCTGCTCTGCCTCCTAAGGCAGCCACAGCCAGCTGAACAGGGACCCCAGGACCCAAATGAAGTCATCCTTCAGGACCCGAGACCCTCAGAGGGGCAGATGCTATCCTAAGTCACACAAATTAGGAGGGAGGGGCCGGGGATATAGCTCAGCGGAACAAGCACCTGCCTGGCAAGTGCAAGGTCCTGAGTTCGATTTCCGGTACCAAAAAAAAAAAATTGGGAGGGCATGAGGCTGAGGCGAGCAGGCTCAGCACAGAGGTCAGGAAATGCAGTTTGCTTCTGCCCAGGGAGTGACAGGAGGCAGGGCGGGGCAGTACTAGGTGCCTCTGTGGGCAGGGCTGGCATTGCCCACAGTGAGGTGTGTAGCTGTCTGGGCTGGATCCATCTCCTCCAGGAAGTGAAAAGTCACCCAAACCGCTGACGGGTAGGTGACTCAGCAGAGGGCTGGGACCTTTCTTAGCCTCCAGGCTGACCCGCACCACACAGCGGACCCAGGCCGAGGCCGAGGCCGGAACAGGGAGGGGAGGGCTCTGGGGCAGCGGGGCCGGCCGCCTGCTGGAAATAGCTCCATGGTCACTGAGCAGCTGCGCACCTCAGAGCACAGGGGACATCCGAAGTAAAGAGGCCGCATCTGCTGCCACCCGGTGAGAAGACAAGCACCGCAAGGCAGCGAGCAGACGACAGGCCACAAACACGCTGACCTTGAGCACTCACACAGGTGTGCGTCGAGCCTGCTTTTGGCACGCGTGATGCAGGAGAGACCAAGACAGAAGCCCCGTCCCTGTGAAATTTCACTCCAGAGAGAAGCACTGTAACTATGAAAAGATGATTTGGCCCCAGTACTAAGAAAAACTGTAAAGTAAGGTATTTTAGGGGCTGGGGACTTAGCTCAGCAGCACAGCGCCTGCCTGGCAAGCCACAAGGTCATGAGTTTGACTCCCGGTACCGGAAGAAAAAAAAAGTGAGGTATTTTGCCTATAAAATGAGCAAAGACCAAGACAGATGAATTGTATCATCACGTTCTCTGGACTGGAAATTCTGTAAATGTATCCTGCTGATATAATTCAACTCCACTTCTGGAGACAGTAGAGTATTTACAGGTCAGTAATGGTCCCAAAGAAAACATCTAGGAAGGCTCGAGAAACCAGTGATTTGTGTGCTTTGAGCGAGCTGTAGAAGCCACAGTGACTAACGGCTGAGATCATGGCCAGGGGCGTGGACAGAGGCAGCTGCCTGCACTTGGACTGGCCGAGGCCGAGGACCCGGGGCAGAGGGCTGAAGTTGGGAAGGGACATTCGATTATCTGAGCTCACCTCCTGGAGGGACACCACCGAGGACTGAGGGCCTCACATAGATGGCCAGGACTCAAGCCATCTGCTGAAATCTGAACCTAAAGGCTCAACCTAAGCCAGGCATGGTGGTGAATACTTACAGTTCCACCACTGTGGAGACTGAGGTGGGAGGATCAAAAGTTCAAGCCAAGCCCAGACAATTCAGTGCCTTAGTGAGACTAAAAAATAAAAAGGGCTGGGGTTGTAGCTCAGTGTGAAGGCCTGGGGTTCAGTCCTTAATACAGGTAAGCCAAACCTGTGCATTGCAGAGCAGAACTTTGCAGTCACAAGGCTGAGAAGGTAGTGTCTCCAATCTCAAAAGGAGAGACAGCGGGCATGGTGGCGCACAAATACACAAATCAGGCAGTCCGTAGACTCAGCTAGTACACATAGAAGGAATTATGAAATTTGAAAATTGGCAATTGACAGTCATCCTAGTAATGGTCCTGGCAAGACACGAACGGTGAGAAAACGTGGATGCAAGTTCTGAGCATTTGGTTTATTCTTTTGTGTTTGGAATACAAGGTCATATTTTCAAGGTAGCTCGGCACAAATTATAAAGAGAAAAACAAGTAATTGAGGGTAGCAAAAGCTGGCAGATGGAGTGTAACCGAACAAATAGACATCATGGGCCTCCTGGTACCAGCACCACGACATCCTAATGTGCTTCCTGCCAAAGTGCAGTCTTCCTGCCTCAGCCTCCTGAATGCTGGTATTACAGACATGCATCATCATGCCAAGCCTGGATGTCTTGGTACTATTGCATCTCTCAGTACTTACTAGAGAAACAGATTTAATGCAAGGTATGCAAATATATAAGAATTTAGGGGCTGGGGATTTAGCTCAGCGTCACAGTGCCTGCCTGACAAGCATGAGGCCCTGAATTTGATTCCCAGTACCAAAAAGAAAAGCATTTAGAAGATTGGCTCACAGTGACCACCCACAGAGTGAGGCGCAAAGTGGCCATGGGCTTACGGGGTGCAGTCTTAGTATCTCTCACGGCTTAGGCTGACGTCAGGGACAGGCCATCCTATCAAAAACCTGCTTGATGCAATCCCAGCATTTGAGAGACTGCGGCCAGAGGAGTGCTTCGAGTTTGAGACCAGCTTGGACTGCATAGTGAAGCCTTGTTTCACAAAGACCAAAACAAAACCAAACCTGCTTAAGTACTGGCTAAAAGAGCCGAAGCTGTCACTGCGCAGCGTGGTGACACAATAACTCCAGAGACACAGCAGGTAGGTCGCCTTGAGTTTGAGGCCAGCCTTGACTACATAGTGAACTCGGGGCCAGCATAGACTACATAGCAAGACCCTGTCTCAACAAAACAAACAACTGAGGATAGCACTTTCTGATTGGCTCCGGGTGCAGAGGCTGGGCGCCTGTCTCCTGGGTCTCTGTGATTGACAGGTCATACCCACTTGCCCAGCCAGCTGGCCATACCCTAATCTGCCTCAGTCGCTCAGAGGCCTTGTACCATGGCTCTGCTAGACTTCAACTGTGAGCCCTGGGAGTGAAACAAGGAATACCTGGGGGTAGACTGTCTCCTCTGGAAAGAGACTGTCCCAGTTCCTCGTCTCTAAGCTGCGTCTGGGCTTAGGGGACTTCAGTCTTCAGGGCTTGCAGAATCGTCCCTGTGGGAATGGGCCGAAGAGACTGGGAGGCCACGCACCTA